GGTACTCACAATCTTAACCTTGCTCAGACCACATTTTCCCTCTGGCTTATGATCTTGGCTTTTGTTCTATGTCTCTAGCATATTCATCCTAACTCCTGGGCCTTAAGTATGACCACACTGTGTTTTTTTCTGCCCTTGTCTTGCCTGATACTTTGATTCCAGTGAATTATTTTCTTCCCTAACCTAAACCTCAATCTGTGGATGACATATGCTTCAATTTCTGCCCCGTGGTAGGCTGGTCAGAATCTTAATGATAAGGTTTATATTCATTTAACAAACATGTTTTACCTGTACAAAGCAGCCTCTTAGCTTTGGCGATATAAAGATAAATTAATTTTTTTTTAAGATACGTGAGACAAAATCAGTGTCTTCAAGGAGTTCACAATCTAGGGAAGGATACAGAGAAGCTAATCAACAATTGTAAGAGAATGTGTTATAAAAGTATTATGTCAAGGGAACCATGCAAACACAATAGGGGGTATAAAGGAAGGCTTCCTGGAGGAGGTGATACTTAAGCTGAATCTTGAAGGCCAGATGGAAATTAGCAAGGTAGAGAATATGAATAAGGGAGAAGGCAAAAAGAGTAGTCCAGACAGAGGAAACAACATATATAAGGAAGAGACAGCATGGCAGAGTAGAGGAACTCTAAGTAGGTTAGTATGGCTGAAATATATTTGTGGTGAAATATGGTACTGCTTGGAGCCAGATCCTGAAAAGCCTTGTTGTGCTATATTCTTATCTAGAAGAAAATAGGCACCAACTGCAGGGGATTAACCAGAGGAGTACTGTAATCAGATGTATGTTTCAGGGTTATCTCCAGGGTTGTGGAAGAAGTATTAGAGACAAGTGAAAGAGGGTTAACAGGGAGAAGACTTACTATAATCCAGATAATAAGCTATGAGGGACCGAAATAAGATGGTTGAAGGGGAAAGGAAGGGGGGGATGAAAGTAAGAGTAGGAGATAAGAGTATTTGATGACACAGAACTTGACAAATCACTGAGCACAGTATTAAAAAAAAGTCTCAATTAACCCTGCAGTTACATACTTGAGGTATTAAGAGAAGAAATTGTTTGCATTTGAAAGTTTGATGTAGAAGATGATGAGACGATGACTTCTCTAACGACGCTGAATGTGTTGTGCATATAAGCGTCCAAGTGGAGATATGCCATTCTGTAGCTCAAGATGAAAGTTATGGTTAAGACAGATTTGGAGCTTGTTAACAGAGAAGTGATAGCGCATAGGACTGTGTGTCTAAAGAAAATCTGGAATGGTTTCCAAAGGAAAAATGAAATTCTAGATAAGGCTAGAGTTTTCTGTAGGTTTAGCATCATTGGTGTACAGCATGGACAGTGTCAGAAGCAAAGTCACTATCCTCCCCTTTCCTTTCTAAAAAAGTTTCAACGAATTCTTTTCAAGTTACTTCCTCTTACCTAGTTTCATGTGGCCCTCTTCACAAGTGCTCTTTGAGTTAGATGGTTCAACTATTATCCCTTTTATAAGAACTTCCTGGTGATCCTAGCACCCTGTCACTTCCCCCAGGATTCCTGATCCTGGTCAAACCTAAAGACCTTTGTCCAGCTGTCACCCACACCCTCGCATGACACTCCTTTTATAAGTGGCAGAGCCAGGGCACTAAGTGTTCCAGTGTTTGCCAGAGGCCACCCAGCCAACCAGCACAGGAAGGAAGTGAAGACCTCAAGACTGCTGACTTCATCTCTAGGGCTCTTGGCACTACATTTTATGATGAACTTTCCAGAAATCCATCTATGGCACAAAGGTAAGCGAAGACTCCAAGAGATATGAAATTTGAATATATATGTATAGCTATAAAATGTATTATTTATATACACACGAGAAAAAGGTGGAAAATGTAAACATCACATAACTAGTATTTATTTTCCCTTTTTACCAGTCAAGTATCACTCTAAACTTGAAATCGGTTCCCATGTGAAAATCTTTTTCTCTTCCTCTCTCACATAAATAAGAATGCACATTAGGAAAATATGGTGAATCTCCAACCATTAAAGGAGTTTAAAATTTCTATGAAAGTGACATAGTATAACTCTAAAAATAGCCAGGGAGTTTTCACAAAAACCCAGAAGGCGAAAACTACGAAAGAGAGAATTGTGTCTGAAAACTAAGGAGGTAAGGTTTTTGCATGCTGTCGAAAGTACATGGAAAATTGTTTTCCCCTCTAAGAGTATAAACTATAAAATCAGTGCTGGCTTCAGCAGCAAATATACTGAAACTGGAAGGATACAGAGAAGATTAGTGTGGCCCCTGTGCAAAGATAACACACAAATTTGTGAAGTGGTCCATATTTTTATACTTCAATTAGAAAAACAAAACAAAACAAAACTATGAAATCAAGGCCTCATGGACCAGGTCATAGACAGGCAAAGACGAACTAAAGAAAGAAAATGGCTCCCAGGCTACAGCAAAACTAACAAAATACATGAACACGTCTAAGGAAAGAGTGGGTCCATGAGGAAGCGGACTGTCAGATGGGAGCATAGGAAGAGTACAGCCAAGGCCTTGGCCACACTCATCCTGGCAGTGCCCAGGGAACAGTGTCAGGGCCGTAGGGTTCTTTAGGCCCTCTCGCAGAAATGGACCAATGGTTCTCTCAGAACTAGCTGTCATTCCATATTCATTTCATCTCACTACTACTCCTTGCTCGTTCCTCAAACTCTCCTTCTGTTCGGTAGGGCTGCTACGAGAAGAGGATGCTTTGGTCATGTCAATGTGAGCTTTCCCTCCACTGTGAGACTTGTATTTTTTGGTGGTCCATCAATTTGGGGGCATTCTGGATTGTTGCTTGCGTACTTAGTCAATGTGAGTTCATCTCTGGCCCATAGGGCTCATCTCCAGGTGTAGATAAATCAAGTTTCTGAGGATACCTTGTTAATTGACCAAGACCAACCTTGGCAAGTGCTTTCTATTCTCATTTGAAGGAGAAGAGATATACATAATCAATACCTTAGTAGTGAGTATATGATTTCCATGGAAATCTGGGTAAGTAATAGAGTCCATGTGGGCCGTTGACAGAAATGTGGTGCTAAGAAACAGGAATGTTTTTAGATGCTAAGTTAAAAAAAAATCAGTGTTTAGATATTAATGTGTCTTTGAGATGAATCTAATTCCCAGGTGTAGTACTTTACCTCGTATCTGATCTACCTCGGATACACATGTGCTAATAGTGCAATCCCAAATCGACATGTGTAATGCTATATGGATTATGCATGTGCATACACTGTCCTTGTCTCTTTCTCTCTTTCTTTTCATTTACATTTTTTTGGAGGGAGATAATTAGGTTTATTTATTTTTTAATGGAGGTACTGGGGATTGAACCCAGGACCTTGTACATGCTAAGTATGCACTCTACCACTGAGTTATACCCTCCCCCCTCCCTCTCCTTCTGAAAAGTAGATGAATGGAACCAACACAGCTTTGAGTTTTACAGATCTGTATTCGAACCTCAGTTTCACTGCTTCTCAGTTTATTTCCTCTGTGCCCTGAGCTTTTTCATCTCTAAAATGTAGACAATAATAGTATCTCATAGAATTGTGAAAATTAAATGAATAATGTGTGGAGTTACTTAAATTTGGATTCTATGCCTGTTCTTTTCCCTGCCTTGGCCTCTTCAATCTGTGTTAAAAACCAACACAGAGATAAACAACAAGGACCTACTGCATACCACAGGCAACTATATTCAGTGCCTTATAATAGTTTATAATGGAAAACACATGAAAAGGAATATATATGTATAACTGAATCACTTTGCTGTACACCAGAAACTAGCACAACATTGTAAATTGACTATACATCAGTTTAAAAAATTGTTGTTAAAAAAATCAACCCACACACACAATTATATTCCACATGGCTATAAGCTTCATAAGAGCAAATAACAGCTGATTTATGTTTACCACTCTATCCGTAGTGTATGGCTTTTAGGGGATCATCAAATATATTTTGAATTATAAAACCAGATTTGCTAAGAAAGTGAGGTTATCTTTAACTGAATTTTCCAGTCAGTCTAGAGATCTCTCTTAATTAAACTAAAAAAAAAAAGTCTACCATATACACTAAAGTCCTTATCAGGTGTCACTTCCATCGACCCTATTTTATATTTGATTAATCAATGTAAAGTCTATTTAAGTGACCTTTGAAAGTATTGTTTTTGTCTGAAATTGCAGATAGGCAATTGTATTAATTTAGTAAGGCTGACGTAACAAAGTACCACAAACTGAGTGGCTTGAACAACAGAAATTTTTTGTGTCACAATTCTAGAGGATAGAAATTCAAGATCAATACGTCAGCAGTGTTGGTTTCTTCTAAGGGCTATGTGTTAAGGATCAGTTTCAGGCCTCTCTCCTTGGCTCTTATATGACTGTCTTCTGCATCTCTTCACATCATCTTCTTTCTGTGTGTGTCTGTCTCTGCATCCAAATGTCCCCTACTTGTGAGGACACCAGTCATATTGGATCAGGGCTCACCCTAGTAACCTCATCTTAATTAATTCCAATTGTAATGACCCTATTTCCAATTAAGGTCATTTTCTGTGGTCCTGGGGGTTGAGACTTGAACACATGAATTCTTGCAGGGACATAATTCAATCCATAACAGCAACTTCTGAGTGATTTTCTTTAAGGCTTCTGGGCATAGCCTATCCCTGGCCTGCTTTCTTATTACTGCATATAGAAGAAAACATTTGACATTGAATTAACATTTGAGGATGTTCTGACTATTCTCAAATAGCTTTAAAATGCATAGAGTAGAGTGAGTTACTGAACTTGTGAGCTTATCTAGCTATCTATAAACATTTGTCTGTCAATTGGCTTTGTTGTTTTCTACTCTTGAGAGTGCCTTGTGTGTTGAAGGAGGACAGAAGGGCTGGCTATAAACGAGGATAATATTTTAGTGAATTTTGAAAAGGCTGTCTATGAGGATATGTCAAAGAAATGAAAATATATTTGAAGAGACAGGGAACTGTAGAAATATGCAAACATGTTCATGAATTTGGCAGCAGGTGAATTTCAGAAGCATATCAAGGAACTTCTGGACACGGGACAAGATTAAGCCTCAGTCATGATTATATATTTTCACTAAAATGAATCAAAGCACAGTGGTCCCAATCATTCTCAGTCATCTTTGCCATGGATTTGGATGCAAGTGAATTGATCCAAATATCGATCTTTAAAATGGTTAAAGTAATCGCTTCTTTAATGCTGGCAAAGAATTTCATTGACTGCCATTGAAAGGGTTTCATTGAATATGTGTCCTGTTTCCCATCAGATCATCCAGATCCAAAGAAGGAAAGTGTTTGCTTTGCGATTCAGGGGAAGAAAGGTGAATTGATGCAATGATCTTATGAAGTATAGATTTTTTTTTATAACAATGCCTCATTGCCCATTGGTGTAAGGGGAGCATTTCTGTGTTTAGTATTCTGGAAATTGTCATCTTTATGTTTAACTTGACTTCTCAAAGCCTGGAATGCTTTGTAAAATTGCACTCTTGTCTCAAATGTAAAGCAGTATGTTACGGAGGAATAAGTTTTGGACCAGGAGAGAGAAAAATCTAGATTCTAGTTCCAGCTCTGTCCTGTGGCTTTAGGAGAGTCACACAGAGTTCTTGCTCTGCCTCAGCAAACTAAAAGGGTTCAATCAGATGATATGCAAGGTCTCCTTCAATTCAGAGGGTCTATCATTTTGTTATATATAATTATTGTATCTCTAGTACAATATTTTCACTCAAATGTAAAGTATGTCAACAGAAAGCAAAACTTTTTGTTTTGCTGGGTGCGGAGTGTGGGAATAGAAACTATGCACTTTGGAGAATCTCTTCCGTTAGATTTTTACTCTGATTATTTTCATTTTGTACTTCATTAAGTTCCCCTCACATAAAATTCTACACCCTTCTTTTTTTAATGAAGTACAGTGAATTACAATGTGTCAATTTCTGGTGTACAGCACAATGTCCCAGTCTTGCATATACATACATATATTTGTTTTCATATTTGACATGCTTTTAAATATTTTTGTCAATTATTCCAAAAGATTAAACTTTCCTCGTTATGTCAACATTACTACAATACAACTAGATGCCATGTAATTTTATTTTGCATAAATCTTGGCAGGAATTACCTCAGTGCTTTTGTCTTGGCTAAGGACCAGGTACATTTGTACTGGATCTATATCAAATGTTCTTTTTATGTTCACAATTTACATGGCTCCTATATAATTGATTTTTCAACCTATCTAATTACCTTTGATGATATTATAATTCTCTTAAATAATTAAATGGGCTATGACTAATTTTAATACTGATAACAAAATTTTAACTTGATCCTGCAGCTTTAATATTAGCAAAGTGCTACTTGGAATGTAAATACATTTAGCCCACATTCTAAGTGTTTCATTTCGTGACACTTATATTGAATAATAAAGTGTTTAATATAATACAGCATTTATAAATCTAGTTCCTTAATGAAGATGGGGCTGTACATTGATTAGTTTATTAGTAGAGTTTAATTTTTGAGATATAATATTTAAAACTGAAGATTAAATTTTTATATTTTAATTCATGAAGAAATCCGTTCTATTACTACAGAACTTATTTTATCTTAATCGGATAACCAAAATTAAACATTTTCATTTTGTTTTCTTTGCTGCCTAATACGCTAAGCAGTGACCTTCTTGAAATGGAATTTTATTTTCCTTTCTTAATGTGTTTATCTTATATTCCCTGTTTGTTTTAGCAGCACTCAAATATTTTGTCATATTTAAAAATAACCCTTTGATTGGACAAATTTAGTTTATTAGAACACTTACTCCAATTCAAATTACTTGAAACTACATGAACGCAATCCATTTTTTGGTTTATGTAATTTTTAAACTAAATGAAATCTATCTTTCTTCATCATAACAGAAAATAAAGACCAAAAAAAAATCACTTTCTGTGTTTTGACACAAATTCCTTGTGTCCTCTCTCACCTCCCCTTTATAGAGTATTAACATAATGTATGTAGTTTTTTTTCTCTCTATTAGAAGTAAGTTGCTACTTCAGAATTTTTTAAAATCTAATTTCTCGTGTGTCTCAGGCCTTTAAGATGTTTTGTGAAACTGGAAAAGTCACAATCCATATTTTTATCTGTTTTTCTTCTCCATAAAATGGTGATAATTAGCCTTGCCTTGCCTACTTCCCAGAGCTTTTGTGAGGTTCTAATGATATAACATACACAAGGGCCTTGAACATATATCGTTATAATGCTGTGCAAATTTATGGGCTGTTATTTTTATAGTCATTACTGCTGTTGATATTAT